CGCGTTTCAGAAAGGCGGGGCATAGAGGAGAAACAATAATGTACAGTATGTGGAAAATAATGTTTTTTTTTTACCTTAAACTGCATAAACACATTTCATTACACCAAATACACCAAATAATGTTCTTTTTAGCAGCATCATATGACCCCTTTAATTAAAAACAGGCTCATCGTCTGAGGCAACTATAAGTACACGCTTCACCAGATGGCGCTGTAGTGTCACAACTATACATTCAATGTCTTACACTACTTTTCCCATTTGTTGTCTCACAGATATTTTGGGCATAAAACATTTCTGCAATTCTGCAAGAGTTTGACAAGTCTTTATCTACTCTATGTTAAAATTTAAGAGGATTTAAGTTTCCTAACTGAAGAATCACCAATTAACCCAATACTGATAATCATGTCTAATCAGCACAACATTCCAGGTCCCATTGTTGAGTTCACTGTGAAATGAGAGACTCTGAGCACGAATGAGTTCAGCCCCTGTCTGGGTCACAGCAAACATGGTTTAAAACGAGTGCCATCATCCCTCTGCCACTCAGTACAATGTGGTCTCTGTGTTGTGTCCCTGTATGGAGTTTAAGAACATTGCTTCCTTTATTTGGCTCGCGGACAAATTTAGCAACATCTGTCCTGCAACAGAGATTTTGTTCTTCCTCCTTTATTTTTGGCATTTTATAAGTCCTTGTAGTGCATTTGGGCCTCTGAGGGTCTCCCTCGGCGTCTTCGGTTTCAGCAGCTGTGGGCTGCCTGTTGTCTCTTTTCTCTTTTGTATGAAGTCTGGTCTCTCCTACCTCATATTAGCAGGCATGTGTCTGAAAGTACAGAAAGATTTTACTGCATTAATGTGACTGCGTTTTCCCAGCATTTAACCGTACAGCATCACACACTGTGCCATCACATGACTCATTAATGCTGTCTAATGATAAAAAGGATGGTTGTAAAGACTTAAGTAAGCCAGCTAGCAAATGGTGTAGCCGTCTACAAGTGATAGTGTTGACCAAATTCACTTTTAACAGATATATGTGTAAAAATATACTGTAGACTTTCTCCTCTGGGAGATGCATCAACATAGAATATTTGTTATATTAAGGAGCAACTGTGAGATATAAAGACACGTTTATCTATTCTGTAGCCTAATGTTATTGTTCAGTGAAAAAGTAAAGAGAGCAAAGATAACTATTGAACTGTATCTATTTTATCTGCGTATGTTGTAAACGGGTTATAACTCAATAATTCAAAGGACTGTTGGCACTGTTTTTATGATGATTCAATCATCAGTCAGCCACGCCTACTAAGCGAATCTCATGAATTATTCATGAGCAAAGCCTTCGCTTTAGTAGGATTGGTAAATGCGCTTGAGGGGCGGAGTTGAAGCGCCAGCGCCTGTAGTTCTCCGCTGAAGTGCGTTTCAGAGTCTGAATCATGAAGAACAGAAGAGCTCACTGGGAGTGGTGCGGACATTGTGTAATACGCGAATAGGACACTTTATTTGCGCTCGTGTTGCCTGTGTGAAGTTATAATGCAGCTGCTGCTGCTGACCTCCATGAAGTGTTCAAGCTCAGATAAAGTCGGACAGACAGTGATAACGGATACCGGACACATACAGGACAGACCCGCAGAATAAGAGTGTGATTGTCACATTGGAGGAGAGATGGGGAACGCAGGGAGCATGAACCAACACACTGACCCCAGAGGACACCACATGCCCCTCAAACTGCCCATGCCCGAGCCAGCCGAGCTGGAGGAGAGATTTGCGCTCGTCCTGGTCTGTACTAATGACAAACGACTAGAAAGAAATCTGCACTTTCTTTTGACTTCTTTCTTTGTTGCACTTCTATTCTATTCTATTCTATTCTATTCTTGGTAGTGTAGTTGCTCTTATTTATTATCAGGCAAACTATGTAGATCGCGTTTGTAGACATCTAAAGAGATTATTACTTTGCCATTTTACTTTTGGCTGCAGTTCTATTTCATTTATTTAATTTATGTACATTCAAAAGTATATACATTTATTTTGTAGACACATACATATATGTTTACTTTGCCATTTTACTTTTTGCTGCTATTCTACTCCATTAACTTGGTAGTAGTTGTTTTATTTATTTACATTCAAAATTATACGTATCACTTTTACACATATAAAGAGGTTTATTTAGCCATTTTACTTTTTACGGCAGTTCTGTTCTATTCTATTCTATTCTATACTTGGTAGTGTAGTTGCTCGTTTATATATCAGGCAAACTATATAGGCCTAGATCGCTTTTTTAGACATCTAAAGAGATGTTTACTTTGCCATTTTACTTTTGGCTGCAATTCTATTTCATTTATTTACATTCAAAGATATATTAATTTGTTTTGTAGACATATAAATAGATGTTTACTTTGCCATTTTACTTTTTGCTGCTATTTTATTCTATTAATTTTGTAGTAGTTGTGTTATTTATTTACATTCAAAATTATGTATCACTTTTAGACATATAAAGAGGTTTACTTTGACATTTTACTTTTTTTTACGGCAGTTCTATTCTATTCTATTCTATTTTATTCTATTCACTTGTAGCTGGGCACCGTTCTGTTATTTACACTGGTCTGTTGAAAGTTTATAAATCAGTTTTGTAGACGTTTATTAGTCATACAATTTGAGATGGACGGTTTGTGGTCGATGTTATCTGATGATAAGACCAGTACTTTGATATATACTATCGTATAAAATAATTAACTGGTACTTCAAAGAAAACCATGGTACTACCATGATACAATGTCCAAAAAGCTATGGTACTTTTTGTTTGAAATTCAGGTGTGTCTCTCTGGGGGTTTTTTTCAGAGATGTTCAGTAACCTATTGGAACTTCAGCTTGGATGATAGAGCCACTGCAAATGTATTGTGTTTATTATTAATTCAGTTGAATGCAATTTTGTTCATAAAGATATGAATAATGGTTCTGTCTTTGGGGCTGAAAGTGCTGCTTAGTAAAATATACTTTTCATTGATATCTCTAGATGGGTTGTCCCTCTTCTGTCTTTGGAAAGTTTGCTTATCACGGACTTCCACCACTCCTTTCCAGAGAATCAAATATCCATATGTCAGATACAAATTAGTTTGTTATTTAATATTATTTATTATTTAATATCGCCATTGTCAAGACATGTCATCATTTGTTTAAACTCCATCATCATGTGCCATTGTCTAGAACAGCCGTTTCCAAACATTCTCTACTCATCCAGTTCTGTTTAGCTTAATGCTGACTTGAATATATGGCACAGGAAATTATGTCATGAAGTTGGAATCTACGATCCTTTGCCTCTGTGTGTGTCTGAAGAATGCGAGGAATGTATTAGATTAGTATGCAGCTACCTGAAGTGCGCTGTATGTTGAGTTCTGGCCATCTGCTAGGCCTGGTTTTATGGGGACATATAAATGTAGGTCAGACCTAATGCTTCACTAGCACTAGACAAACCCTTTCAATTAACACACACTCACACACTCACACAGGCCATTCAGAGAGCTGGAGGCTTCGTCAAGGAAAGCAGCTATAGTGCCAGAATGAGGGCGTTCGGTCAGTCCCTAAGGCAATGGAGTTGGTTTGGTTCTCTTTCTTTCACAGACCCTCAGGCTGTGGTTATTCTACCAATTGAGGAGGCCAAGGGAGTAGTTTCCATTCAATATCCTTAGCTAGAAAATGCTCTCTTTCCGGCTTTCTTACTTTCTGTTCGTTTGGCCACCTTCTCTCTGTGAGTGTGTAACTTGTCTTTATTTGTGGTTGTTTAATAGCAGTCACAGTGGCAGTGATACATATCAACAAGTAATTAGGGTTGTCACTACATCAAAATTGAACAAAACCTTGCAGGTTTCATAATCCTCAATATCACCCCATAACGAATGAATGAATAACTCCAACCACCAAATAAATAAACAATTTATAACTACTATAATTATATCCAACTTTACCCACTTAAATACAGTACACTCATGTATAACAATATATATTACATAGAAAATCTCAACTTCTTGGTTGTTTATAATATTTCATAATTCAAACCCTTTTATTGGCAATATATTTAACATTTATATATAGTACTTTCAACTTTATTTGCATACATACAGTATACTCATGTAAAACAATATATATAGCAAATCTCGGCTCTGTGATTGTTTATATTGTTGCAAGATGTAAATTACAGTATATTATCGCAAAGTGCTATATATAAAGTTGGATATATAAGTTATATAAGAATCCACATAGAGTATTCTCACGTAAAGCTATATAGTAAATATCAACTGCTTGACTGTTTACATCATCGCAAGATGCAAACTATATTATCGCCCAGTTCTAATCTACTAAATATGACTACAAGACATAAAGATATTATAAACATTAACATGATAAAAATTAGAACCCATCCATTAGAAACTATATTTATTATGGTTTAATTTAGTAAAAATGACTAGTAACCGCTAATCTCACACTTGACTGTAATTTAACAATTTTACTCCTCTTAGCACCTCTTAACTCCTAGATTTTTTTTTGACAGTAA